AGCTACAGTTATTAAGACTGTGTGATACTGGTGGAGAGATAGACACACAGATCAATGGACAGAACAGAGAGCCGAGGTATAGGCCCATACAAATATGCCCACTGATTTTTGAAAAACATGCAAAAGCAATTCAACAGAGGAAATATAGCCTTTTCAATAAATTATGCTGGAGCAATTGGATATCCATAGGAAAAAAAAAAAAACATTGACCTAAATCTCACACCTTATACAAAATTTAACTTAAAATGGATCATAGACTTAAATGTAAAACACAAAACTATAAACTTTTAGAAAAAATGGGAGAAAATCTTTAGGATCTAGTGCTAGGCAAAGAATTCTTAGACTTGACACTGAAAGCACCATCCAAAAAAAGGAAAAAATGATAAATTTCCATGGATTAAGAAGTAAGTGGGGGAGAGAAAGAAGTGTGTGGTTATAAAAGGGCAACATGAGGGATTCTTGCAGTGGTAGAAGTGTTCTTTCTCTTAACTATCAATTTCAATACCCTGGTTGCGAAATTGTGCTATAATTTTATAAGATAATATCATTGAAGGAAACTGGGTAAAGGGTATATGGGATCTCTCTGTATTATTTCTTATAACTGCATGTGAATCTATAATTATCTGAAAATAAAAAATTTAATTTAAAAATTCCATGCATTAGTTATAATTTGGTTTTCTTTTTTTTTAATTTCATTTTATTTTTTTATACAGCAGGTTCTTATTAGTTATCTCTTTTATACATATTAGTGTATATATGTCAATCCTGATCTCCCAATTCATCCCACCACCACCACCACCACCCCCGTTTTTCTTTTAATTTTAATATATAATTGTAAAATGCTTTAGAAAAAATATCTTCAGTAACATACATGAAAAATAATGTCAAATTTTCACTTTTCAACATTTACTTCCATTTATAACTTTGATGAAAATATACTCAAATGCCATTCTGATGACATCATTCCCTTGTTTAAAAATCTTTCCATGGCTTTCCACGGCCTACAGCATAAAAACTCCTTAGCTTGGCATTCAAAGACATTCCTCTTCCAGACACTTGCTGATCAACCCAGACTCACCCTTCACTCCTGCCCACTGGTGCACACTCCTCTCCCCAACTCTTGACAACTTGAAGTTCCTTAATGTGCCTTGCTGTTTCATGCCTCTCTGCCTGTTCACCCTGCCCCTAAACACCTTCAAAGCTTTCAAGACTCTGTTAAACTCACCTCTTCTAGGATCTCTTGCCTGTTCCTCCCCTTAAAAGCCCAGACCAAGGAGAATTCACCATCCATCAGCAGCAGCACCGTAACTTGTACATCTATCTTGGTACCTAACATTCAGTTGCTGACATGTCTTTCCCTCTTCTAGTCTGTGAATGCCTTGAGGATGAGGACTGTGTAATTCTACCTTTGCAGTTCCTGTGCTTCATATAGTGCCCAACACACAGCAGGTGGTCAAAATGTTTGTGGAATGGCTGACTATCCAGCTCACATGACTCCTGGTTTCTGGTCGTTTCCTTGTCCTACCTTTTTCTCATCCTTTCCCCCCAAATAATTCATTCCTTACTCTCCTAAAGTCCCTTAGATGTTGTTCACAGGACAGTCAGCTGTGTACATGCTTGCCTAAGAGTTCCTCAAGGATGGGCAGAGTACATTTTTCAGACACACTGTAGACACATCAAAGAGTTCAACATTGATTGATAAACAAGGTGTTCAACCAACTGAGTGAACAAAGGAATGAATGACCTTGAAATACCTTGTAAAGTATACAATGTAGGTTATTTTTTAACTTTACTCCAGGACCTTTTATAAAGAGAGAGACGGAAGGACAGAAAAATACACATAATACCTATAACTCACAAGGAAGAGCCCTACGTAGCAGCAGCACAGATAGGGAAGAATGAATATGTGGTTGGAATCATGAACATCACTGTACAGCTTTTAAGTTTGGGGTTAGGTCCTTTGAATTGTTCTTTGGGGCTGATGGAAGAAGGGAGGGTGAGAAATCATCACATCATTTCCAGCTGCTTAGAAAAGAATCACAGTGTGAGTCCTATTTATCACATATAGGGAAAAAAGAGACACAAAGACATGTCAAATCATCAAACGGCACATTTCAGTTTTAAGCACAGCAGTCCCAGCCTTAAGGAATTTACAATCTACTTTCCATTGTAATCATTCCAAACATTTGCCTTTAGAGCAGTTCAATGTAATAAGGAAATAATGCATGGGAAAGAGTATGGGCTGTAGTTTCAAACAGGCCTGAGTTCAAGCCCAGCTTGATCCTTTGCTAGTTATAGGAGCCTGCCACTTAATCTGTTTCCTTCACTGTAAAATGCAATATCAGACCACTTACACATGGGACAGGTATGAGAATTAAATAAGATAATGTATGTAAATTGTAGAGCCTAATGCCTAGTACACAGTAGGCCAATAAATTATGACTGTTCCTTTCCCCATCAAAGGCACCAATCTCTGGATTATGAACTTCAAAACACCTTCAGGTGAAACAGTTTTCTCATTTAAACTGTATTAGAAGCCAAAGTTATAACACCAGGAGAATACCTAAGAAAAGTATGATATGTGTTAAAAATGTTATGCTAGAAACCCTGCAGGGCTCTCAATAAATACTTGTTGACTGACAAATGCATGGTCAGATCATAAAAACACACAGATGGAAAGAGATAACAGCATAAAAAGGTAATTTGATGTATGACTGATTCACTTTGTTATAAAGCAGAAACTAACACACCATTGTAAAGCAATTATACTCCAATAAAGATGTAAAAAAAAGGTAATTTGGAATCAGCACAGGATAAAGATCACTTCAATAAGTATTTTATTTTTATAAGCAACAGTAAAGGTAACTGGAAATCACTGGGGGAAAATCAGGTTTTCATTTACAGCCACAAGTTTATATGAACACCTAGAGGCACAGTACCCCAAATGCTGGCATCTCACTGGCAAAATTGCTAAATTGGAAGCAAAAGTGTTCCAGGTACTTAGGGGTGTGTGTATTCATGACATCTGTGGACACCTCCTCCCACATGACCCCGGGAGCAGGAGACCCAGATGTCCTACACACCCGTGACCTACAAACTCATGACCTAAACACCCATGACCAAAGCACCCATTCAAACACTTCCTGGAGCATCATCGTCTCGAAGACATGCTTTACATAACAAATGTTTACTGAGCTTTACTGTGTTCCTGGTGCCATGCTGGGCTCAGGGACACTAAGATGGGTGGATCGTAATCCCTGTCCTCAAGAGGAGAGGTAGACATATAAATAAACAATTGCGAGTAGAGAGTGACTGGGTATGTAGAAGGACACGTGGAGGCACAAAGAAAGGAGTCGTCCATTTAACCTGAAGGATTCAGGAACTATTTCTCAGAGGTAGTGACAATGGAGCCAGACCTTAAAAGATAAGATGCTTTCCATGCCAACAGAGTGTAAAGGCAATCCAGGCAGGGGAACCCCTAGGACAAAGGCCCAAAGTCTAAATATAGAGGTGAACTCAGGGAACTGTGGGCAGTTCCATGAGAACTGGGACATCTGTAAGTCATATATAATGTACGTATACATAGTATCTTACATGCACAGTATATACATATCTTCCTATCCTTGTGAAATTGGCAGCAAATAATTATTCCCATTTTGTTGATGCATGTACCACAAACTTACACTCCCTATTCCATGAGCTAATCGGTTCACCTAATATTTTTTAACTAAACATCTGGAGTTATTGGCTATAGGTTGTTAAGTGGCCCTCAGTCATCTATGCCTTGCTCCCCACAGGTTCCTGAATTTCTATGAGACATGGCACCCACAGTGATGAAGGTCCTGGGAGGGATGGGAAGGAAGAGAGACTGAAGGACAGAGGGACACAGCTTCCCAGTATGGGCATCTCAATGGCCCAACAAAATAACTCAACATCCTGGAAAAATAAACATTTTGGAATTGTTAAGAAATATTCTAGAAATGTGACTAATACATGAATCATCTATGTACATTGTGAAACCTAAGCCTTACGTTGTTTATTTCACAATATAAAAATTTTAAAATTTTCCATCAAGAAAAAAATAAAGACAAGACGTGGCAATTTGTGGAGAGACCCACAGCACCCTAGGGTTTTGTGCCACTACAGATCATCTTATTTATGCTACAGAAATAGTCGCTATGTCCACAACAGGTACCACTAAATGATCTCAGTATGTTTTCTCACTGAACCTGAGATAAGGGGATAAGGAGAGGTCAAAGACTAGAGTGGAAGCATCCCTTGTGCTGTTAAAAATAGTGCTGTTAGGCACCATTGAAATGGCTCTATGGTTGCATTAAAATCGCCACTTCAAAATGTCATCTACAGGGGCTTCCCTGGTGGTGCAGTGGTTGAGAGTCCGCCTGCTGATGCAGGGGACACGGGTTCGTGCCCCGTTCCGGGAAGATCCCACATGCCGCGGAGCGGCTGGGCCCGTGAGCCATGGCCACTGAGCCTGCACGTCCGGAGCCTGTGCTCCGCAACGGGAGAGGCCACAACAGTGAGAGGCCCGCGTAACGCAAAAAAAAAAAAAAAAAAAAATGTCATCTACACAATTTTGCGTCTCAGGTCTGCCATGAAAGGGTTATGTGACCTTTCCAAAGGTCACATAATTTCTTTAAGCTTCTAATTCCTCTCCTGTAAAATGAAGACCTGGACCAAATAACTTCCAAAGTCCCATTCTGACAGTTTACAATTCTGACTTTCCTTTTTACCACATCTAGTTATCCCAAGCCACTATCTGTACTAACAACCAATTGCCTGGGGCAGCAGAAGTCTAACCCCTAGTCCCAACGACACATGCGTGAATTTTTGACCCAAACAGCACAGTTCACTTGAAATGCCCCCATGGGCCCATCTGATCAGTGCTTTTGCCCCACACCTTGGGCAAACGTGCACTAGAAGTAAATCAGCAAGAAAATGATGGCTGCCCCCAAAGCAGTGACTTGAAAATCAATATTTACCTTGCCTTCTGTGGTTTCATTTCCTGCCCGGAAATGGGGCTGGGTGCTGCAGATGGGGCCTGAGATGACAAACACTTCTGATATAGGCTCTGAGTTCAGCATGGTTTCCTTTGCTGTGAGATATCGCTAAAACACTACAGAACTTTTCTTTACGTGGGATCAGGCAGAAAGCACAATTCAGATGGACTTCACTTTGGATTTCCTACTTCGGATGAAATTAGATGGAGCATCACCCTCCAAAGTGCTTTCCAGACTCAAGAAACCCCCAGGGTAGGTAAGGAAAGAGGAGGCACCCAAGGGTTCCAGCAGCCAGTAGGCAACAGGTATGAGAAATACAGCTGCACTGGGCACCCTGCCAGGAGGACCACAGAGTTGCCCCAGGAAGAGCCCACCCCTAGCTCAGCAACACTGGGTCACAGCCTTCTTTCTACTGGGGCGGTGAGCTCTGTCTGCATATTTGTAAGGGTATTTAAGGCAGTGTTTCAAAGCATGAATTATAACGCCAGAGACCTGGGTTTAAGTTTCATTCCTGCCCCTAACCACCTCTCCAAGCCTCAGCTTCCTCATCGCTAAAACGATGCTAATAGTAGAATCTAATCATAAGGGTCATTGTGAACATTAAATAAGACAGTGAACGTAAAGCAATAAGGTATAGTCACTATCTCACAGTGCTGTGCTGAGCTGTACTTGAGCCTGAGACAAAAGGAAAAATCAGTACTACTGAGCCTGTCTTTGTTAAAATCTTGATATTTTGTGTTCATCGTGAATTTTTTAAAAGCTTAATTTAAAAATATTGCATTAAAGTATTACTTAACTTAATTATTGAGGGTTTTTTTTTTGGCATCCTTTAACTCTTACACATTCACCTAAGAACTCAGTAAATGTCGGCTATCATTTTACCATCATCATGCAATGACTGCACATCACAATTTAGCACTTAATTATCTAATGTCTTGTATTAGTCACTGTTCTAGTCGCTTATGTCCTGTTTCCCAACTAATTTGTACACTTATTAAGGGACGAAATTATGACATATGTCTTTTATCCCTAAAACTGCTGAGTCATAAGAGATTCAAGTAAGTGCATGTCCAGTGATGGCTTATAGCCTAAGGTAGACAATTTATAACACCACTGTCTTCTAACTGTTTCATGTGTTTGAAGGTTTTGTCTCATGATCCTTGAGAGGGCAGGGATGGCATCTGGCATTTATTCTATGCATGTCTGGTGTAAAGATGGGGGACAGAATCAAAGAACTGGCAGGGACCTTTGAGTTCATCTAATCCCACCTGCTCACTTTACAAAGAAATCATTTGATGTCCAAAGAGGTTGCATGATGTAGCCAAAACCCCTCAGTGATAGCGCCGGGATCTCCTGGGCTCTTTCCATGCCAGTGCTCTGCTAATTTTCTTTTATCTCTTCTTGCCCATCAGTATCAAGCACGGAATTTTGCATGTAGGAAAAATCCAATAAATGATGTAGATGATTGATTTCTGGAACTTGAGTAATCTTTGCTTAAAGAGGGAGTAGGGAGTCATTGCCTGGAAAAGTGTATGTATTTACCAACTCTCCATATCTCCTGGCTCAGTGTGGCAAGGTGTTTATGAGAACACTGGATTTGGAGTTAGACAGCTCTGTTTCAAGTCCTGGATTCACTACTTTCTAGCCATGTGACCTTGGATGAAATTGTTTCTTAATTGAATTTTCCTCATCCAAAATAGGAACATAATAATGGTACTTACCACACAGAATTGTGAAAAATTACACAAAACAGAAACATGTAAAGAGTATGGCAGGCTACTTAACACATAGTAAATGCTCAACAAAAATTAGCAATTATCACTATTCTAAAAGTAAAGCCGTAAGAGTTAGGCGGGCTATAAGAGCAGATGGATAGAGTTATATGTATGGTTGTTTAATATACCCACATTGTTATATAATGGTGGATAAAGACTGGGAATGGGGAGCTAAATTATTAATCAAGCACTTATTATTACGCTATATCTATCCCATGAAGCCTCAGAAATAACTCTGATGTCCAATGTATTCTGTGAGATCTCAGTTCTATATAATCATGACAAGGGCCCCTCATGTACACACACACCAGCTGCCTAGCTCCTGAAATTTTACAGATTTCCAAAAGCAACGGGAGCCCAGGCCAGTGGACTATAAAAGGGACCTGTCATAGAGTCAAGAATGCCTAACTATAACCCCACTTTTAGTTTCATTTCAAGAGAAAACAAACTATATTAGCAAGGACACCCAATCGATAAGCAGAAGCCCAGACAAATAATAAGACACTCCATGACTTGGAATGTTGCCAGCACAAGCCTGATGCTATGAACAATGGATGGAGTAACCCAGGGAAACCAATTGCATAATTGAGTTCACACAATCCCTCACCTACTTTTATTCTCTTTTGCCCTCCGCAAAAAGCAGTACTCTGAACCCAAATTCATATGACTCCACAGGAAGATGTGAGGTAGAAGTGTGAAAAGTATCCTATTTTTTATTACTTAGAACTTGGGAGAAAGAAACAGACTTGAATATCCCAAATTTCCAACCAAAGACTCCAATATTTTGCATTTTTGCAGCATCTTTATACCAAAATCCTCAAACCACTTCTGCTTGTCTGATATTAGCATCTCAGGGAAGCAGCCAGGAGTTTGCTGAAGCATTTTAAAGAGCACTTAATAGTCAAAGCTGTTTTGAATTTTGAAAAATGAGGGAAAATACAAATAAAAGTATTTTTCATTCTGGGTCAAACCCTCTATTGGCAATCTGAAATTTCTCTTAAAATTCAAGGTTTCCCAAAATCAATGTGGTATCCTAAATTGGATCCTAAAACAGAAAAAAGGACATTAGTGGATGAATTGGTGAAATCCAAAGAGTCCATAGTTCAATCATTAGTATAATACCAATGCTAATTTCTAAGTGCTAATTTCTAAATGTACCATGGTTACATTAGATGTCGACACTAGGGGAAACTGAGTGAAAGATATGTAAGACCCCTGTATTTTCTTTGTAACTTGTCTGTAGATCTAAAATTATTCCAGAGTTTATTCAAATATTTATTTTTAAATTAGCAAAAAAATAGTAAGTCAAGATTTCTTTGCCAAAGAAACTCTGGTGAGTGAAAGGGGTGGGGATTACTATTCTCTCTCCGCATTGAAAAATATACTAAAAGGACAAAAATCTCCAGTTTTTTACTAGAGATCAACCAAAAGATGGTGGCCAACTCCATTTCTGCTCAAGGTAACATGTTGGGAAGCTAAAGGGAACTGGGAGCTCCAGGATGTAGGCTCTCCAGTCTGTAAAACAGAGATAATGACCTCTCTCTCAAGTGTCTCAAATGGGGAATCAAGGGCACAAAAGAGGTAGAACACGTGACCTGTGTCAGGAGCTAGGTGAGTGGCATTGTCCTTTGCTCCATCTCAGGACATCCCCACTGGCGGCTCCTGTCAGCCCCTCAGGGAAACCTTACAGGAGGTCCCTCTGGGTGGAAGGATGGCTCCTCTGTCTTGGCAGGAGGGCTCCCCATGTTCACGGCCTCAGAGGACCTGCTGGATGTCTTAGCTCCTGGACAGTGAGTTGTGGTCTCTCAGCCCCACCTCTAGAAGCAGCTTATACTCTGCTGGGCTCCTGTCAAACTCTCTGGGGGCAGCTCTGTCCTCGCACCACTTTTTAAAGAACAGCCCACCCACCACGCTGTGGGGATAGGGAGACAGAAAAAACTACCACTTACTTAACTGATTTACTTTTCAGTTAAGAGTGAGAAGGGAAAAAATGAGTCACGAGCTGAGGCTGGGGGCTCAGCACTTGCCCCACAGAGTGGCACTGTGCAGGCCACAAGGTGGGTCATTTCTAGAGCAACCTCTGCTCCCCTTGGCTTGGCCCAACTTTTGATATGTTGCACTGACTCACTGTCTTTTGCTTCAAGGAAATTCTTAAATTAACTAGACCTTGACACTGTATGACAGTGTAGAGCCCATTCCTTCTTCCCGGCATTGTCCAGTCTTGTGGATAGAGAATATTTTGGTAAAAGTCCCAAGTTTTTTGTCCTATCTCCATAGGTTGTGAATTTTCTTGAGTAATCTCTATTCCAAATATTCTGCCTTATTGATCCTAGACACCACCCAAATGTCCCAGAAACTGAAAATGTTTTAATATTATTCTCTCCCTGACGGCCTCATCTACCTAAAGGTGACCACATGTTCTGCCAGCCCCTGGGCTTTCTTCAGAAGTGGTCAGGGTACCCAACAGGTGTGTGGGTACCATCAAGGACACTTCTCATGCTTTTGGCCACTTAGCATCTGAATCCTTCCCTTGTCTGGGGAGTCCCTCTCCCTGTGAAGCAGAGCTGGTCTTCCACTGTGGAGCTGTCAACGACAGATATTTGCTTACGGGCCTCCCTTGCAGCAGATGGGCTAGCCTTGAACTAGACTCTACCAATCAAATGAACCTAGTTCAGACTTTAAATTGGAAACTAGTTACACAGAAGAGCAGGAGTCACCCAGAATCCATTCTGGTGTGGGGATGGCTCCACCCAGCTTACTGACATAGCAGTGGTGGCAGATTCAGAGCAGTTTCCAGCACTTACTGTCAGTGTGGCAGGGGTACAAGCTGCAGTGTCTGTGCTTAGCAGGAGCTGCCCTGGGTCTTCACCAGACCAGTTCTCCAGCACAATTTGGATATTTCCCCTGGCCGAGTAGCCCCAGAGCCTGTCCTTTTGACCTTTCTGGAAATTCTACAAACCAGAGCCTACTTCATGGGTCAGCAACCTGTGTGGTCACACGGGGCCCCAGGCTCAGCATGGTCCTGTGCTTAGTTAAATGGTCTGCTGCCCATCTTCCAATCCTTCAAAGTTTTCACCAAGAAGCCTCACATTTTCATTTTGCACTGGGCCCTGCAAATTAAGTAGCTGAGCCTGCTGTGAGCTAGCTAATATACTTTAGGTTAAGGGGTTCGTAACCTTTTGTGTGCCATGGAGCCCTTTGGAGGTCTGATGAAGCCTATGAAGTATATAAGGAACGTTTTGAAATGCACAAAATGAAACACATAGGAAGCCAGTTATATTAAAATACAGTTAAATTTTTTAAACAAATATATGATAGCATAATATGTGTGATTTTTTTATTAGTACATTAAATAAATCTAGTGGCAGGTCTAGTAACTGCTGTTGCCCAGAAGTAGTATTTTGGAACGCCTGCAACAACTGAAATGTCACTTGAAAATACCTACGACTTTTTTTTTAAAGATTTTTTAAAATATATTTTTA